AGTGAGGCCATATGCGTAGCTATGGGTGGGCCTAGGCCCACCCACCAAAAGGCTGAACAATTATCTGGAAAATCTGTCACAGCAGCCAGTGAATGTAGCATATTGTAAACTGTCTGACTTTCAATACTTATTTATTTTTCGAAAATTGTACATTGTATCTTGCTTTTTACAAATTCAGATATTATTATAATCAGTTTATTTTGAATGGCAGGTGCCAATCACTCCCGCCAATCCAATCAACGGGCGCGAGCGGCGCTCCGATTTCATCCAGTAAGCATGCGCTATGCATTGTTGTCCGGAATCAGTAGCCTTTTGGTAAACTAGCTTGACAAAATGGACATTATTTCAGTGTTCAACACTAAGCCCCCGTCGACCCCTGCCTTGACCATCAAAGGTATTTGGACTGTAATAGTATAAAACATATCAAATGTAAATTTGGTAGATATTGTTTTTGATAGTTTTGCAATTGGACTTTACGCAATGTGTGTGTGTGTGTGTGTGTGTGTGTGTGTGTGTGTGTGTGTGTGTGTGTGTGTGTGTGTGTGTGTGTGTGTGTGTGTGTGTGTGTGTGTGTGTGTGTGTGTGTGTGTGTGTGTGTGTTTATGTGGCCACCGTTCCAGTAGCCTACTGCTAGATTTATTTTTAAATAAACGAGAATGAGAATGTCGGTACCGCTCTGTGTATCCATGCTTTATTGTTGATGCTGTTGGCAGCTGTGTGTTTGTGCAGCCGTGCCATGTTATACTGTGCTGGTGTTGTGTGCCTGTAACATGACTTTTAATATGCGGCTCGTCTGAATAAACTGTTTTGCAATCAGGCAAGTATAGTTGGCTTAATGGTGGCTTATTTCAGTTAACATGCGTTTTAGGACATATTAAGTATGTTTGGCACACCTGATTTTGTTGTGCCCACCCACTCTTTGATATCTGCCTACGCTACTGAGGCCCAGCTTAACTGAATAATTAACAGAAAAATAATGATTCATTTAAAAAAAAAAAAAAGTGAGAGTATTACAGCAATTCAAAAATGTGGACACATTCTTAGAGGTTTTACCTGTCCTGTTGAGCCGAGCCATGTTCATCATGGCTTCATGGTAGGCCAGCTCTACATCCTCCTGGGTTACCACCAGCTTGATCTTGTTCCACTTTTCAGGCTGAGAGTAAAAATAAAAAACGTCAATTGCGTTGGTTTGCATGCTAAAAACAAGAATTGTACAGCAAAAGTGATTCATGATTGAGCATTTTGACTTACAATATCTAGCCACTGGTGTACTGCAACCGCCACTTGTGTTCCGAGTGGCTTGGTCAACACTAACACGTCTCCTGGCACTGCATTGTCTGGCCTGAGAAAATCAAATACATACATTACAACTAAATTATGCATTATACATAAATAAGAAAATATATGTAGTAGCAACTCAAATCCTACATGATGAATTCGTTGGGTTGGCAGACTGTTGTTGCAACTCCTCCCAACACCACCCAGGGGTTGAGCACCGTCTGTCCTCCTGTTACTGATGTGCCCGCCTCCTCTGATGCATCCTTAAAGCCCTGGATGACCAGCGGCATGACTTTGTCTCTCTCCTGTAAAGACAAGAAAATAAATTCAGAGCACAGACATTGGAAAAAAATGTAATTATATAATGAAACATGTTATAAAGTAACAGTTTACTGTAATAACATGTTGTATAAGTGGTATTGCGTTTTATCTACTATTACACAATTGGTTCTTCACAGTTATTGACCAGAAACTAGATCCAAAAGTGAATGCATTAACGGAGATGCTTCTTACCTTCTCTGACATTTTGTTGCTGACCCCCAGAAGCATCAACATGTTGTCACACTCTGTCACTCCCATGGCATACAGGTCACTTAGAACATTGGCACAGGCAATTCTTCCCTACAAAATAGAAATAATATTAATGAAGCACATCTAGGGTTTTTGTGTAAAGTAGGCCTCCAGCACAGCGTACAAAAGTAGACAGACACAGAAATATAACAGTGGCATCTTTCAGTTTGTCACATAGGTGTATATGTAATAATACCACAATGGCATTAGTAATATCCATAAAAGAAGAGATCCATACCATCATGTAGGGGTCATCCACAATGGGGTAGATGTAATCTGTTGTTTGGACCAGGGAAAGGCCACCATGTCTTAGTGGGATCACACAGGTGTCCATGCCTATGCCTTGAAAGATAAAAGAGTTCACTATGTGATATATTGTTCTGATTCTGTACCAACAAAATCCTGATTAAAGAGCAGTTAGTTTGAAATTGACTGCTGGTCTTTAAACAGAGATTACAATGTTATTGTAAGCAATCTTTAACTTAAATCGTTTGTTATTATAGCGCTATATGAAGATCCTTATTACCTAATCGTGGCATAACTGCCCCCAGGAACTGTTCATCTTCTTGATAGTGGTTCTCCTGTAGGTTTTCTAGCAATTTCTGTAAAACATCTTGGGGCACCTGTGACCAAAGACAATAACCACCATGTTGTTATCACACAATGTTGAATCAGATCTTCTTATTCAGTTGGATAATCATACAAAGATAGTAATGCATCCGAGGCAGATGTTCATAAGGAGAGCTAACCTTGCAGCCTGTGCCCTTGAGCTCAGCGAAGCGTGTGAGCCGGAAGTTCTTGTCCAGCTCATAGCTCTCCGGGTTAAAGGACTCCCTCACCGACATGTCTGTAGAAGCTCTGGGTCTTCACCACTACAACCAAATCAATGACCAGGACAAAACAACAACATATAGGTTATAGGAAACACTGTTTGAATGTTGCAATTGGCTAGAAAAAAATCTTGTTAAATGTGTATAATTAAACAAATAAATGAAATATAAATGCATTCACCACACTGCAATGCCCTCTGAGATTATTAACAAATGTTGTCTTTTGTGCATCTTTTTGAGTGAAATATGACAAAAGACCAATACGCTTCTGGAAAATCTCCAGCACTGCAATGAATCCTTATGAGTCAAAGGGCTGAGTGCTGTCTTATTTAGGGTCGCCAAGAATATCTAAGAATTATGCATGGGTAGCCATCGGCCAAAATGAGTTGAACAATATCGGCATGAATCCAATATTGTGCATCTCTTTGACAAACAGTCAAAAACATAAAATATATTCAGTTTTTAATTCTAGAATACAAAGAAAAGCAGCACATTTTCACAATTGAGTAGCTGATAATAATGTAAACAGTTTACAAAATCCCTGCGGATACATTTGTCCCAGAGTCATAAATAACGGCAAAGCCAAATTAATATTTAATAACTCCAAGTTACACTTTAGTTACAACTACAAACAATTATATTGTAAGTAGTCTATTGTATTGAACTGAATAACATTACCCAGACACATCTATGTTTGGGGTAAAATTACATTGATGTTGACAGACAAATCAATGGAAAAGCATTTAATTCGTCAGTTTTGTACGAAATAACATTTTAAAACTCCACAATGAGCGTGCTCACAGATTCATATTTTCACAGTGAAATAAAAATAAATGCTTGAATGACCCAGAATAACATGACAATAGTTCAAGCTCAGCCACCAGACAGGGTTATTGGTTAATTATAACCCCGGTGGTTGTTTAACCTGCTGTAAACGGGGCCTCGGTTTGTACACAGTGGGAGTGTTCAAGAGACAACATGCTGCTAAGTTCATTCAACCCTGCGGCACTATAATAATATCATTGCCGATCAATGTTACAATATTCGGTGAAACGAATGCCATATTATTAGCAACAGGGCGCTGAACTGTAATACATATGTGCTGATTGTGACAGCTATATCTTTTTACGCTTTTTTGTTTTGCTGAAAATGCAGTTTCCGTTGCCATGCTAGCTTTCGCTTGCAAAGGCTGGTCAATGCATGAGGTGATGAGCAGCTCTGTGCAACAAAGAACACCGAGTGTCTGAGTGTGCGAGCTGAACTGCATTTAAAAACACACACCGTAAAGGCGAACGACTAAATGTGACACATAGTTGTGTAACATAGTGCCAGCTCGTTCACATGTAAGTTGAAAAGTTGCCGTAGAGCGCCGAATAAAAATGTCGGCGGCGGAAAAAATTAACCCTTTCCTGTCCATCGCCATGCGATGTGTGCAACATCAGTGTTCGTATCAATAAAACAGCACTAAACATGCAACCTGTGCAACGTTTGTAATGATATGTTGCAATATAAGTGTTTACAATGGCTTTAAATGCGATATTAGGACCAAAGCGGAGTTATATTCTTGCAACATTTCCCCTTTAATTGCTGTGTCCAGTTTATCCTTACCAGCTTCACGTTAGCGGTGGATCCCGACAGAAGAGCGGGGATGGCACCAGAATGCATTGGGGCCAGAATCGGGCGTCCTTGGAGAATGCCTGACGGAAAGTGAGACATTTTTTTCTTCTTACTCACAACTAGATGACAAAAAAAATAGCTAATCACGTACAATGAAGTATATTTGAATTAATATACTTTTTTGAGCACGTATATCTTTATAAAACAATATATGGTTTACAATATAGAGAGGAAACTCACCAGATCTCAAAGGGTCCTCTGCATGAACAGCGGCGGCTTTAACATCCCCTTTAATGATCTGGGAAGTCTGGCAACAAAATCTCTACAATGGAGTGTACCTTTAATTTACTGTTTTCCCTCCAATTGCACCCAGAACAACATAACATTGCCTGGCTGGAATATAGGTATTTAACAAAGGCTGGGGTTTATAACCTTACATTATTGTCATACTGATATTTTGTACAAACTGTAAAGTCCACTGAGACAAATGTAACATTTGTGATATTGGGCTATAAATAAATATTGATTGATTGATTGATTGATTATGAACGATCTTTAATAGAATTGTATGTTGTATTTCGTTACAGTGTCTTAACATTGGTAACAAATATGTTCATATTGATTTAAGCACTTGAATTTCTTCTGTTGTTATTTTTACTTCTAATTCTAGAATATTAAAAACGAAAACAGGACAAAATGGCCAGGGAAACATTTAATGTTGGAAACAACTATTAATTTAATATGCACAGTGATTGAAAATGAAATACAATTGTTACTTCATTACAATATTAACAACAAGCACAATATATATATATATATATATATATAGGCATAGCCTAACAATTATAATAATGAAAATACAATAATAATACTATTCATATAATATTATACATTTAATATTTTCAACCAGTTCTAGCTTACCAACTTATTTTTAATTTGCAAAATTGCCCATTACATATATCTTTGGATGTATGTTTGTAATTAATGTTGACACTTCACTGCACATAACACCAAGTGAAGTACTAGTCACTTAAGGCACAATCCACAATGGAAAACTTCCCATAACAAATAATTTGTGCATATTAATTATACGGTTACAATTGGCCTTCTTCGTTTGGTTTTAAACGTGTGACTACTATTAATGACATATGAGAACTACGTAAAAGCTGTAGCCTGTAATGAAAACATCAAGTCACTTCTAAACATGAAAATGATAGGAAATGTTTTAACAATCGTATAGTTCGGTGTATATTGGCCCACAATCCTGGATTGTGTGTGTGTGTGTGTGTGTGTGTGTGTGTGTGTGTGTGTGTGTGTGTGTGTGTGTGTGTGTGTGTGTGTGTGTGTGTGTGTGTGTGTGTGTGTGTGTGTGTGTGTGTGTGTGTGTGTGTGTGTGTGTGTGTGTGTGTGTGTGTGTGTGTGTGTGAGGGAGGGAGGGAGGGAGAGTCCTTTTAAATAATCTTGCATGTGTTATTTTGGTCCTTTTGTCTCTTTCCCCTTTACATCCATACAGCAGTTGCAAAGAAAATATCTAAAGTTGCAAAATGCATCAAGGTAGATAAGTAATAAAGACATTCAACAAATCTTCTGTAAGGCCATTGTGGCAGCCCTTACATCAACCAGTCATGTCCACCACTGGCCCCTCAACACTTGCGGGCTTGTTATAGTCACAGCCTATAAAAGAAGGAAGAAAGTAATGTTCAATATATAAAGTATCAACACAGCAAAAGCTTGAATTTGCATTTGGGGGATTTTGTATTGGTCTGAAAGTCAGCAGAAAGATAAATGCTATTGTGGCATAGATATAATAAGGTGAAAAAGGGGATAAGGTGCATGGTGTCAAAGTATTTAGCTGCCATTTTGGGAAACCAGGTGAGAATAATGTCACAGCAACATCGTGACAATAGGCAAGCCAGCAACACAAGTTTGTGTGTGTGTTTTCAGTGGAAAGTGAAGTGGGGAGAGGTAAGAATACTGATTGCTCAGGGCGGATGGAAATGTGATATCTGGGACATATAAAAGGTCTGTGCACTGTTTGCGTGTGTGTGTGAATATTTCATTTTTAGGTTCATACATGTGGAAGATCCATTTAAGATTTCTTCTGCTTCTGCTGCATCTGAATAGGCAAAGGATAAACAAGATTAACCTCAAACATTCGAACAAGGCCTCGTCTGTCAGTGGTCATTTTGTAATTAACCTATAATAATTTATGAATTTAGCTGCATGCTTAACTGTACCTCTCTTCAGCCTCCTCCTGGCAAGTTTGATCTGATCTTGAAGGATCTGAACCCAGTCTCGTGGACCGGGCAACTTTTCTATTCTGTGTTCTGTGCAGTATTTCTCTGTAAACACTGGACAGAGTTTACACAACTGTGTGAATGCTTTATTCATATTTAAATGTATCACTATTGTTGTGCACTGGTTACACAAGACTGATTAATTATTTTGTTTCTCACCTTTAATGGCGCCCACAATGTTCTGGTCCAAGCCCTTACGGTTATCATTGAGCCCTCTCTTCCTTTTACCATTTGGCAAGGAGTTAGCCAGCGTAGTATCGTCAAAGAAGGCACACACCTGAACACAAAGCTCCATGTTAGAACACTGTTGAGCCTTTTGTGATCTTATAGCTCATTAGTAAAGTCCATTATAAGATATTTGTTGTTGCTGTTCAAAATCTAATGTAAGTATCTAGTGACTGCAAAGCTGATAACAATAAAAGGGCAGTGAATTGGCTCTTAAAAACATATTGATGCAAACCAGTTTCCGGAACAGCAGGCTGCCAGAGCGTGTATAGTTGACCAGAATGGAGTCAAGCTGAGCCTTTGAGATATACACGTCATAATCCTCCGCAAGACGCACCTCGGACTAAAAGAATCAAATAACACTTGCTGTGAACTGTGAAGTATTATGGGAAAATTAAGACAAACATAAGACAAATCTAGAATTGGAAGAAAAATAGAGAACTCACAAACTGAGGGCAATACAATTAAGTTTTCTCCAAACATAAGGATGTTTGGAGCAAATAAACATCTTATACATTCCAAAAAATATCATTTGGAATCGAAAAAGGTCTTGGAACACAAAGGTCAACCTTGGAAACAAATGAATATTAAACAAACAATTGCATTAGCTTTCTAAATAATATGGAAACGCTTTAAGGCAGCATTATGTAGTATATTATGTGTTGAATATATAAATTCAACACTTGTATTTACACATGCCAATTCTATTTGAGGTAAAAAAAGAAAACCGTATTTGATTTTAACACATAGTATAAAGACCACACATAGTGCATTATCGGGGCATTCAGAGTGGCTTTTCTGTGGGAGTGCAGTAAACAAGAGATACTATTTAGGCTCAGAAAACAAGTGCATTCAATTATGCTAATGTAAATATTACCTCTAACAAGTGAGGCTCCCTGAGTTTGTTCAGGAGAGTATTGTGTCTGTTGTTGACAATAACTGGGTTGTTTTGAAGTGGCAGTACAGAAAGAGCAGAGAATGTGGGATGGCTGTTTGGTGTAGATGAGCCTTGCTCTTTCTCACATTCCTCCCTCTTTCCAGATTCTGCAGGTGCAGCTATAAGTGGTGAAGCCTCGAGAGGGGCAAGAGCCGCTCTCCTAGTACTAGACACAGTAAGTGGTGCCACTTTATAGATTGGCCTTCTCTTGCGCGGCCTACAGCGAGGAGCAGGGCCTGGTACCAGACGAGGTTGGCATGGTGATGCTGCCTCTTCCTGTCTTTCCAAGGATCCTAGAAAAAGACAGTAACACATTTCATTTTTCTTTCTCACTTTCCCACGGTGTGTGAGTGTTTGTGTTTATCCACTGACCTTTTTGAGTCTGCATCAGCCTCCTCATGGCACGCATTTCCTGCAAAATAGCCTGCAAGGTGCCCTTACAGTTACACTTACAGCAGGGGGTCTCTGGCGCAGCAGGAGGGATTACATCTGCTGAAAATACATTTGGTTAGTGAATGTCTAACATGCATACACATACGGGTGCAATATGCTTTCACAAATGAATAAAAGTGTTTGTCGCTCACACAAATACCTCTGTAATTTGTTGTACCTGTACAATAAAAAATGTGTGCAGTGTCCAGCAATACACTATCTCCTCTTTTCTATGAGCATATTTTTTCCTTATATAAAGGTGTCATTGTTGGTTTTTCTACTCTTCAAAGCTGCTCTGGTACCCTACCGTTAGCTTCATTTGTTTTGATCAGATCCTTGGTAGTGTTCAGGTTCCTCAGGGCCTTGGAGCAGGTGCTGTACTGCCCACAGCCTGGACCGTTGATGATGGAGGTGGAAATGGATGAAGGTGGAGGAGTTGGGTCCCCCGCAGAGTTCCAGCTGTTGCTCTGGTGGTCCTCTGATACAAGAGATGAAGGTGCAAGCTGATGTGCCCAAGTAAGATTTCTATCCTGGGGCTCCTTTGTTAAGCTGTCCTGCTCCGTCACCACACGCTGATACACCCTGCCTGTCTTGTCACTCAGGAGCCTCATCATTCCTGTGATTTGCCTCTTGATTTCCACTCCTTTATCCTTACGCCACACTGCATAAAGAAAGATGTAGGAATTTAGATCTGCCATGATACATTATAGAAATGAATCCTTAAAACGGTACATACCATCATTCACAGCAGCATCCTTAGACTCTCCATTGACATCTTTGCAGTTGGAATTCATCATTATTGAAGGGGCACTGCCTGCTGCAATGAAATGAAAACTTAATACGCCATGTGTGACAGATAGATGCAAAATAATGCTGTGGCCATTTGCAATGTCATAATTAAGCTTTTGCAGGCTGATGATGTCAACAGAAGCAGCCCCCCCCCTCCTCCATCACAACCAGAAATCACCACCTGTAGACAGAATGTAGAAGTGTAGCCAGGAGAGGTGGCCTGGAGCGCAATAGCTTCAGCAGAAAGGGAACAATTTGAGCTGCATGCTGTATATTCAGAATGCCCAACATGCTGGACTTAACATGTTGCAGCTACTTGTGTTTAACAATTAATTTAATTAACGTTTTAGTGAATCTATTGTGGGACTGAGCCAAAACAGTCATTACACGTAATAATGAAATCGTTAGAGTTAGCTGTTAACGTGGCAGAGACAACAGACATTGTCATGGCCATATATTTTGTTGACAGAGTCTCTGCTGGCAAACAGCGCCAGACAAACAGCCAGACACAGACGCGCGTCTTGCAAGGTCTTGCATTCATTTATCAGCCTACCTTCATCCGTGACCAGTTTAAAGCTCTGTGACTTCCTTCTCCTCTTCCTTTCCCCAAACTCCATTGTCAGGCGGGGGTGGGGGGGGGGGGGGGATATAGTCTTGGGTAAGTGGTGCAGACGAAAATCGGTCTTCAGAAAACCAAAATCAGATGATACACTCAGCGGAATCTCTGTCTGTCTGCCTTCTTAATCAGTTAAATTCCTCCTCAGGCTGCATTACAGATCCTGCCATCGGCACATTTTCATGATCTTATTAAGCTTAAATGGAACTGATAAATGCCACTGCCTGCCTGATCTATCCCCGTTCCCAACAAGGATGCTGGCTCTTCCCTTTCGCCATGTAAATAAATTAATTACTTTAATATTAAAATGTCGTCACATATCCCTTTGCGCCACCTGATGGTATGTTCTCATCTAAAAGGTCGAGTCACACATTTGCCACTGTGGTATCTAAACAATGGTCTGGCATTTGAGCAAAAGCAAAAAGGACACCAGACTGCAAACATCAACTTGTTTCTTGTACTCTTAGTCTCAAATAAGTAAGACATTATTAATGTTATTAGATCTCTTTTTGTTATTTTGACAACTTATTTTTCTACATTTTACAAGATGTAAATGAAAAAATTACCACCTCTAATCTTTGACTGATTTCATGAGTAAGTTGTTAAACTAATGTTGCATTTATTAAAGATGATACCAGACAGATTTTAGATTGCTATCCTATTATTTTGGGCATAGATGATATCTATATATTTATATGTTGTACATCAATTAATACATTTCCCCTCCCTCCTGTCATGACCTCGCTTCAAGCAGCAGAATACATTCTGAGTCACTGGCAGAAAACAGTAGTGTTGAGTCACGTATACAAATCATAGACTGTATAATAAATGCATGCCATTTAAGTTGGTCTTACTTTTTCCATAATTTTTTCAAAAATAGTTTTTCCTTTTTAGTCTCAGACCTTGCAAAAACTGAGATTTGAAATGATTGGACGTTGAAGAAGAAACCAATGCTCACAGACTATTTTGTGCTATGTTGTACCATATTGCAAATGGACGATTATTGCAGCGAAGGAAAGGGAGCTCCAGCAGCCCATATTTTATTTAGTCCTATATTGTTTTAGAATATGCACAACAATATAGCTGAATGGCAAGGCCAGATTAGATACACCAACAATGCCTTGAGTAATAATATTCCAACAGTGCTTTGCCAAATTTGTATAATAATAGAACATGCCAATAAAGCCATAATGATTACTATATTATTTGTAACACAGGACACTGTAGGCTAGAAAACAGCACAGTAACTGTATGCCGAAGTTTGAGTGCTTGGTCCGGAAATATCCTAGCTTCGATCTTAGAGTGACTTTAATGGTCAATTCGTTTTTTTCATTTGTATTTATGAAACAGCTTGTAACGGAGGACTCTTATTTTGAAATATAGTGTTTTTTGTCGGTTGTAAGGTCAACTTCCGGGTTAAGCGTGTATGTGGTGGCGTTGTTAGTGTTACACAAGTCCCACTTTTTTAATTGTTTGTTAAAATAGACGACTTACGACCACCATTACTTAACAGAAATGGATATACTAAAGGCTGAGATCGCAAGGAAAAGAAAACTCATCGAAGACAAAAGCCTCATCGACGTGAGTAGCTGATTAAGTCGATTGTTATTGTTAGCTTGGTAACTTAGCCCTGTTGCTAACATGTTTACTAATTTGAACTTAGCTAACGCTTGCTAACTCACATCAGACAGCGTTGCCTTTACAGAATCGTGTTTATACAGCTATTAATACATAGGCCAGTTTGAACTACACGTTCAGATATAGTTCATACTAGGTCGGTAGGTTAAAGCCACCAAAAAATAGCGACCATTAGCAAGTGCGTAACGTGGCGTTAACGTTAGATACATGGAAGTGCAGGCTGTTTCTAATGTTCTTAGAAGTCAGATGTGCTTGCTCCATGCTGGGGAAATACTGGATTTAAACTTAAACCATAAATGCTAAACACTAAATAAAACCCATTAATAAACTAAGCTTCTAATAATGTATGTGTAATTAATACGAATAAGCTCATGGGTTGATGATTGGTGGTAGTTTATGTCCTGTAATACTTTTAGAGGATATCATTCTCAAATCTATTTAAGTACCTTGTCATCCTTAAATATGTCACCTATATGTTCATACTTTGTTAAAAAAAATGAAGTAGTGTTATTTATCATTGCAAGAAGATACTTGCAGTTGCAGGACAGTATGCTCTCACCCAACACAAAGGGGAAAACAGTATTTTCTATATCACTTTCTATTTTGTATTGAAAATAAACATTCATCAACCATAGTTCAAGAAAATAAAGAGTAAAACACATGCCATCTTTGTTGTGAGAGCTTTACTATTTTATACCACTCTAGTCTTGGCCACCGGTATGATGTTTTCATTGCTTGTATATAGAGTTTTGTTATAAATGTTATAACAATTCCATCATATTTGTGCTTTCAGGACAACAAGAAATTCTTCAAAAGGTCCGATCTTGCACGCATGGAACAAGAAGATTACTTTATAAGATGCGGATATAAGGTTAATGTCAAGAGCACTCTCTTGTTACTCTCTCATACACACAAATGCAAATAAATCACTGCTTTTCTCCAGTTCAGATTCATCTCATGTTTGATTTGACATTTGTAATACTGTAGTACAACCTTTGCCAGGAAACAAAATAAGGTCAGTCTTTGATGCTCAGGTGTACATTGGTGTTTGTGTTTGCTGTTTTTCCCCAACCTGCCTCTGCTGCCTGCATCGGTAGGTTCAGAGAGAGACTCCTGAGAGCCAGGTATGGGACTGCACAGTGAAAGTAGCAGACAGGATGCATGATGAAAGGACAAAGCAGCACACTGTGTCCCAAAGGCTTTCGCTTCCTTGGCACCCTTTTTGAAAGTTTGCTCTCTAAAGCCAGTGAGGATCAAAGCAGAAATAACATGGTGGAGACATCTTTACTTTTGAGTAAACCCCATGATACCTGGGTCAACTCAATCAGTGAACACATACTAATTCGATATCTGATAAAACATGTAATCAGCTCATCTCTGCCTAATGTGAAACATCATTTGGTTTTTTCCAGCACATTTTTAAAAGTCATGGATTTTTCTTTGATTTCAAATGAGGTACTTTCATAGTCTTGTCAATCGCAGAAATGCATTTGAAAACGTGATTGTTTTCAGACCTGCATTAAATTAATTAGCTAAACAACCACATGCTTCCAATTCACCACCATAGTCCATATTTATGCTTTTCACAATTTCACATCCATTATGACAACTACATTATATATACTGGACCATTTCTGTGTTTCAAACTATTTACAAACACAAAAAGAATCACTTGGCAGAAACTTTGGGAACAAGGAAAGACATCTACAAAGCCACAGTGGGACACAGACATGGTGTGGATTTCAGCATGGGATACTGAACTGAAATTAAAAAAAGATTTGTGTTAACAAGTTGATTTTCTTATTTTGCAAATAATCTATGACAGAAGCTTTTATATTTACATCAACTATGTTTTTGTCCCTAGTTTGCTTTGCCTTGTAACAGTTGCTCAATGGAAAACTGTATTTCTCTTCGACTTTGTGCAAGGCTTAAGATGTCAAACGTATTAAGCTGTGCTCTTTGTACACATACAGTATACTTGTTGTTTATTTGAGAAAAGGCCATTGTTTGTTGGGGAGGCTTTTTGTAATCAGTTTCTGTTTGTTCTTTTAGATTGTGCTCCTTACACCACAATCTAAGAGTGCTGAGATTGCATGTGCCTATAAAAGCATGTTGTGGTAGCATATTGCGACAATAATTACAGAATATGTTTTGCCTGTGATTAGACCAACTGAAATAAGATGATTTTTTTAATATTAAAATCTTGCTATTTATATTAAAATGTACGTTATTAGATTGATCATAGTGACACAACCTTTTTATCCCTAAGGTCTTATTAGGACATTGTTACATACCCCAGTTATATTTGTTTCATTTGCATTGGCCCAGAAAACACAACCTTTCAATATGATCAAATTCACCTTCAATTATTCCTTCATAAATAAATACATTTATTTTCCCTCCTTTTTGTCCAAAAGAATGATAACAAAGAAGAAGATGAGCCGTCCACCTCAGCGAAACCAGTGTTAACACTGGAGCTAACAGAAGAGAAACTGCCAATGTCACTGTCACGACAGGAAGTGAGTCAACGTAAATTATTAACACTTGCCTCAAAAGTCATTTTTCTTTCCATATTAAAAGTCAATGCACATTTTTTGCATCACTGTGTTTGTAAAGGTAATTCGACGACTTAGAGAGCGAGGGGAACCAATCCGAATGTTTGCAGAGTCTGACTACGACGCCTTCCAGAGACTCAGGAAGATTGAGATTCAGACTCCTGAAGTGAACAAGGTAGGACTGATTGTGATGACACATCGCCCAGTAAAGACATCCTGATTCAAGTCCCTTCTATCCAGGGAGAAATAAATTAGGCTATTATGCCAACCACACGGTGTTGAGTGCAGGCAGTTTAAACCTTTCCTTGCAACTGCGAATGAGCATTGGACTTCATCTGAGCTAGTACCACTAGTTCTACTAATACTTAAAATGCTGTTACAAGGAACCCGCAGCTGCATGAGTGGATGTAACAGTCTAAACATGGCTGGATTTGAAGTCGGAAAGGTTAAAGATGTCAGCAGGAAGGAGCCTTAAAGCTATCATCTTTCCAGTCCATGTGCAAGGTCCCCTATCATTTGGATAAAAGCTGGCATCATTGCACGGAACACATTTAATTTAATTTTCCACAGCTCCTTAATTTTTTCAGAAGAATGTATTCTTGTTGGCATGGTGAAATCAAAGCTTATGAGTTACCAATCTAAAAGCAAGTGGTGTTACTATTCCAAAGCCTTAACATTGTGCAATCAACATTTATTTCAGTATGATGAGTTATAGCAAACACCCGTGTGTATTGTCAGCTTTAAATACAGTATTCTGGTTGACACTGTTTAACTCTGTGTGTAGGGCTTGAGGAACGACCTGAAAGCAGCCATGGACAAGATTGACGCGCAGTACCTGAACGAGATCGTTGGAGGAACCGAGCCGGGAGAAGTGGACACACAGCACGACCTGAAAGTGCACGAAGAAAACACAACTATAGAGGAATTGGAGGTAGTAGACTGTGTCGTAACCAATTAGTAGTTGAGGTTTGGGTGTTTTGTTAATACTGAATAATGTTAATTCATAAATATTTATAAATTGAATTGGAACCAGCAAATATATTATAAGTTAAACACATTTTGTAAATTGT